GGTATGTCTTCAAAAGCTTTATTGTTTTTTTTTTTTTTTCTCTCTCAGTTTTGAACCTCTAGTGGTTTCAGGGTTTTAAAGGTTGCCATTTTAAAGGTTGGCAGTCTATTCCCATCTAAAGAAATGATTTCCCACTTAATTTGTGAAAGCTTTTTGATGCGTATCTAAATTTTTGTTGATGAGATGAAACATTGTCGTTTCTAGTTGTATGTGTCACCATTAATTACTCTTCAGGTTCAGTGTCGTGCTATGACTTGTTCTGTATTGCTCTCCTGGAATTTCAGACATGTGGTGACTTCAGACACGGCAAATGTGAGGCCAGCCCTGAAACGTCTAAGCAAATATTAAAACTGTAAAGGCTAGCTATATAAACTGTAGCAGAACTATTCAACTTTATGGTTACGAAATAAATTCTTCCACTGGTGGATCGCTACTTTTCAGGCTTTTCCTTACATAGGAAGGTCTGCGGCGAGTTTGGGCAAGGAAAGTGGGGAGCATGCAGGACGCTGAGGCCGGCTCCAGAGCTCTGCTGGCTGCCGAGAGCCGCCGGCGTCCCCGCGTCACCCGCAGGAGTTGGTGACACGTGTGCGGCTGCTGCTGCTGGCTGCGTGCTCGCGCCTGGCCTGAGAGGAGACGCTCTCGTGCGTCCAGAGGGTTTGTACCCCCTCCTTGGAGAGACGGGCTGCAGGTGTGCAAGGGCCAGTGCTCTGCTGCAGGTGCCTCGCGTGCCCGGGTGCCTCGTTTCACACCATGGGGAAGCTCCTACCTGTTTCCTCTGAGGCTGCTCTGAATTTCCTCAGATTTGCAATCAACTGTCCCCCAGCACGTTTGAAGAATAGCAGTCTCACTTGTGTCTGAAACTTCAGTGGAAAATAATCCCTTTTCCTTTGTAATTAGCAACTTTGCTAATTACAACCAGCTCCCTTCTGCGCTTATTAAATGTAATAGAGCACACACTGAATTTGAGATGTAAGAAGAGGATATTGCTTATTGTTTGTGGGCACTTCCGAGTGTCTGAGTAAACGCCTTACCAGCTTCGTGACGCTTCGGATCCGACGCGTTTTCTTCAGCCCCGCTGTAACAGGTTGCTTGCCTGGCGAGGTTTTGCTGGCCACGTTTGCTGATGGTAACTCACTGCCTGGAAAGGACACGATCATCGCGCAGGAAAATGGCAGAGCACAACCTGGGACACCAACTTCCTCGGAGCAGGTTTACGTGATCTTACATGAGTAAGGATTAGGATCACCTCCTAGAAGTTACTGCTAAGCAGCAGTAGGGAGATGAGAACCAGGACCTGATGGTCATAACATTATTTCTAACCTCAAGTCCCACTGTCCTGTTACTTTTGCACTTATGGATGGCTGTGGCCTTGCTCCTCCTCTGTAGTGACTGAGTTCTGCTGTTAACTTAGCTAGGATCAAGAGCAGCTTCTATATTTCTGTAGTGAAGTATTATGCAACTATTTTAATATACTTGTGTAAGTGTCATTAGATCAGGATGAGCTGCCTTTTCCTTTCCTCCGGGAGTGATGTACAATATCTCGATTGGAAGAGGAGACAGATTTAACCTGATTGAATCATTAAATGGAAATATAAGACAATGAACATTAGCCACTTAGCTCTTTTCATAAATTCTAATAATTAAAACTGTATGTGCAATAATAATGGCTATTCCACATATCTAAGTAAAGAAAAATGCACCGTTGATAACTTGTGGCATAGGCATAATGAAAACGTGTAGCTAATGGAGGAGCTGTGTAGTAAGAGTGACCACAGAGAACCTCCATTTGGAAATATATAAACATATTCCCCAACAGAATTTCACTGCATCACAATTCATTAGGAAAATTGGAAATAACTGACAAGATAGGCACAAAATGGATTTTCATGTTGCTGGGATGAATTATAGCTCCCAGCAATTAATGGTTTTAGTCATATTAAGCAGATAAATAATGCTATCTGACATTACAGTATTTCACATTACACTAAAATTTTGTAGCATTTGCTCATAATATGACTTGAAATATGTTACCTAGAAAAAAAAATGTTCTCTCTGGAACAGTCAAACCCCATTAGAAACCTTAGGCTTGAAAAATCACAATGTTAACAGTTATATCCCCTAGCAAAGGTTTGCTTTCCTTAAATAGTGTTAAATTTAAACCCAGAAGCTCTAGTCTCTTCTGGAGTTACTCTTCCTTAGTGCATTGAGCTTGAAAGGAGAATTTAGTGCAGAAAACATACTATGCATTACCAAATGTTGGTAAGGGAACACTGCAAAGAGCTGTAGGAAGAGGAGGATAGCCCTTAGACTGAAATGACATCCGTGATAATGCGTGGTCGCTAAATAATGGTTTTATATTTTGCTTTATAAAAATGTTCTTAATATGACCCCATTACACTGACACTGGTTGATAATTTTGTTATTTCAAGTCACATTTTAATTGTCAGTTTGTTTTTTTTCAAAGCTGGGCATAGCAAAGTCTCTTTAATTATTGTTGAAAAAAGGTGCTGTAAAATATCATGGGTCTAAATTGCCAATTCCTGCTTGCATGAAAGCTCTCGATTTCAGCCGTGTTACTCGTGTAAGTGTAGTTTTACCCTGCAAAATGCGCTGTGTGTAGCAAGCATTAATGAATTGAGATTTAGTAGGGGCCATGATTTTTCTCTCATTTGACGCTAATTCTGCTCCGAACTCATCAAGTAATGTGGAGGGAAATGGATTGCTTGTCAAAGCAAACGTGCAGCCTTCTGTTGGGACAGGAGGCGGCGGGTTTGGAAGTGTCACGTTTAGCTGAAGGCAGCGACGCTTAGTGTCTCAGCACCCAGCTCGCACGGACTTCAGCGAGAGTTAGCAAACAACCTTCCCTTGGGCTCCGGTGAAAATCCCTGCCCTCGTACCCAGCATGAGCTGTGTTCCACTCCCAGGAAGCGGGCTTTGTGCTAAGGTCTTTCAAGGTATTGTTCCTGAAAGAGCAGGAAATAATCCAGCTCCAGAGAGAACATAGCGATGCTGCTCCGAAACCGTAAAACTGTCAAAGGTTAGCATGAAAGGAATAAAAAACCAAAATCAAGATTACATTAAGATTATTGAATACAGTATATCTTTCCAAATCCAAACAGAAAACTAAACAGTGTTCTGCATGTGCCAAGATACAGTTTTATTGCTTCTCAGATAACATTGCATTTAAGCATCACTTTGCCTTGAGGGTACTGGAGAGCAAAAGCAGTTTGCTTATGGCTTATGACGTTTGTCCTACTGTGTGTTAGTGGAGGAGGTAGGGACTTTTAGAAGACATTGCTGGCAATGTCACAAGAGGTGCACACCGAAAGCTTAATAACTGTGCTAGCAAGAACATGTAATCTCTGCCAGACTCCGTGATCTAGAGTTTAGATTATCTTCAACTGAAAGAAATAATACTTAAACGTAGTTCCTCTGTGACCTTATAAAAATAACACTGTTTATGGAGGCCACAGTTCTGCATTGTCTCATGGTGCTTTTCCCAAATGTATTTCTTAAATGCCAGAAGTACATCCCAGTCTCCCAAACGGCTCCGCACTCCCTGGGGTGGGAAGCCCTCAAGGCGCTTCGAGGTGGAGTGTGTGCTGGACTCCCTCTCCACTACCTCTAATGCTCTTGGGATCAAATCTGCCAGTATTAGTGGTAACTAGCACAGGGGTGATGGTGATGGCAGCTGTGTATGTTGGACGTCCTTCCAGGGTTTTTTTTGGTTTGGGGATTTTTTTGGATGAAGCAAAGCAGGAAGAAACAGTCTATGCCATATGAGCAGCTGTGGTTCCTAGACAACAGCCAGCCTGCAGGAGCTGCCAGCGATCCAGCGCTTTGGGAACTTCTGGCTCTAAAGGTTTGGTTCTGCTTTCACAGCTTCTCTCTGTGCTAGCCTGTATTAGTGTTATTGCCCCTTCATAGTATCAAAAAGGCAGTCATGGTTTTATTGTGCTTGTTTTAAAACCAGTATGCGTAAAAACAACCAAACTCTTCTAGGTTGCATATATAAAAAAAATGTACATGTAACAGCTCACATCATACAGTTTAAAGAAAAAATAAAAAAGGCACCTGTGTGGAGAGAAAGGAAAGTCTTCCCTTTGCTTTGGAAGGAAAGCTGTCTCCACACAGTTGCTTCAATAACACGTACTTATATACATACAAAACCAGAACTTCAGCCCCATGAATCTGTCCCCTTATGTGGCGTGGAAGATGGAAGGCCCAGAGGGGCGATACATCTCATTCTTTCTCCATCACAGAACTGCTGCCATTCACACTGTGTGAGTAAGAGTAGGGCTTGGGTAAAGTGTGAAAAGCATGAGATTAATTATGCTCCATGTGGCATAATTCCACATCGGAAACAGCATAACCAACAGCTCACAGACAAGTGTACGTTGTTCTGTTGTTGGAAGGAGCAGTTGTCACGAGGAACCCTACACTGCTCCCTAAGGAGGCCTGCATGGGCGGTCTCTGCATGGTGATGGGCTCTTGTTGCAGTCGGAGCTAGGAATCACGGGGCTGCTTCAGCTCCCCCTCCAGCACCTCTGGCCCAAACAGAGAAAGAAAAAGGCAATGTGGAGAAAAAGGCTCTGGATCTTGTTGTATCGAGTCTTTATAAGGGGGTGAAACTATAATTCTCACATGATGTTAAAGAAAGAGGACTAAGCAATCTGCTTAAACATGAAGTTTCTTTCTGCTAGCTGTATTTCACTATGATAAAATGGCTATTTAAGAAAATATTTCACTATTAAAAGTCACCAGATTACATTTTAGAAGTGCACTTCCTAGTTCAGGCTCTAATCTCTTAAGGAACGTAACGCGTCCCACCCCAATTAAAAAAAATAGAATAGTAGTAGTAATATAGTGTTTAACAGTATAAAAAGAGTAAGGGCTATTTTTATGCAGTTTCTGAGGTAATAAGCTGGTATGTTAAAAATATATTGATGCAAGTCCTTCAGTTGTGAAGGTATCCCTTATCTATCCCAAAGAAAGGGCTGGCCATGGTGATTTCAGTAAGGGGGACAAGAGGTCTGTGGCGTGTTGCTTTGTACGCTGCATCATAGTTCATCATGGTTTCTTGTGAGGTCCTCCCCATAATTAGTAGCTTGACTGCCAACAAACATGTTCCAGTTCTCTAGAACCTCCTCTTTTGTTAGCTTTTGATCCTGGTGGGAGAAAAACAAATTGCTGTAAGAACATTTTGAAGGCTAAGTAATAGAAGCATGAGCACAGACTTTGTCTGTTTGTCATGAGACATTGACCATCAGAAAATTCTTCAAAGACGCAGGCTGCAGATTCAGAAATCACCATAGCTGTCATGAGTGAAATTTGGACTCCAGTAAAGTCAGAAGTCCCTCTGGCTTCACTTGGGTCTAACTGTTAATTAGAAGTGCTTTGCAATTAACTTTGCTGCCAACCAGAATGTATAAGTTATCTGATACGTTTTTTTTTTTTTTGCCTGTGGTTTTGTTTCGCCTGTCTACTTTTCAATTTGCCTTTCAATTTTCTGTGAAAATTGAAGTCATCTGGTGTCTTTTGTTGAAGATGGTCACTTACACTGAAAAATTTAAGTCTCTCTGTGTAAGGTCATTTTAGTTTTTCAGGCTCCAACGTTGCTCATATTGCAATTCTGGAGATCACCCTCTGGGATTTGCTGTACCATTAATCTCCCATCTTAGAGGAAGCAGATGTACTGGACCAGTCTTCAAGACAAAGATATGTGTGTTTGATGATATAAATAGTGGCTTTTTACTACCTCCAATTTAATTTGTATCTGATTTTGTTCTTGCAGCCTAAATTAACATATAAAGATCCATGACCCCTCTTAAAAGAAGAAAGAGTATTTTTACTATGTTAAAACTTTAAAGCGTATGAAGATAAGGAATTTGTTTCCTAACCTAAGGAAGCCAGTGGGACTTCTCCAGCTGGTAGGTAGCTGATTGCATTTTACCAATTGTACTTTGTAACCACACCAACTGAAAATTGCATTGATACATTAAGACTGTAGCTAGCACTTAGAGCCTCCAAAACTCCATTTGAAGTGTACTAATAAGAAAAGTCACTAGGAATCATTGCTTGCTAGTTGATATTACACAAAGGGGAACCAATTAAATATTTAATTTAACATCTTTTAAAAATATACCAAAGTACTAAGTACCTTGTCTACATCTGATTCATAGACTAAGTGCCTGGCTTCAGCAAGTGCATGATCGTAGTCTTGTGGAAGAATCCACTGCTGAATCTCCTCTTTGTCCATCTTCCCATCCTTGTTGAGGTCACGAAAATCGGAAAACTGTTCACGCTCTGTAATCACCCAGTCAGGCTCTGGTCCACCCTCTTCATTTGCAAACATATCAGCTGGAGAGAAAAATAAAGGGCTCAAGTCATATGTAGCTTGCAAATTATGCAAAACTCAAGAAATTAATACCAGTGTTCCTTAGAGGAAGACTGAACTTTCAGTCTTTGCACAGAGGTTCTCTGTACAGAAAATGAAACATGGAGTACTGTGCTGCAGCAGAAGGTATCCAAAGCAGGTTGGATAGCTTGAACAGGTTGTACACCAGCAGTGCATCCTGCGAACGAGGAGCACCCAGAGTGACTTGTCACAGCGCGGCACCTTGTGCTACGGTGCCACTTGAGACACAGGAGGCAGGGGATGTGGGTGTGAGCTGCTCTGTACATCAGCCCTATGCTTATTTAAACGACATCACTAGGAGAATGCAGCAGTGACAGCTGTTATCTATGTAACGAGTAGAATGAGTGGGGAAATGCCTTATAAAATAGCAAAGAAGAGTTTTGGATTTCTGTATGCTTGGTTTCTGACCCTAGCTGGATGGAGTAGAGAAAGTAGAAATATTTTAAGCATAGTTTTTCCTCAATGATAAAACTTCAAACAACACATTCACTTTCCTTTGTTGTTGTTTTTTAATGTGTAGATTATATTATTTATCGGCAGCAACTGACATGTCCTGTCAGTTTGGGTTTTTTTTATAATCTTTGTCAATGCGGGGTGATCGTGCCTCGAACATTCTATGTGCCTATCTATAGAAGACAAGAAAAAACAGCATTCACATGGTAGCAAATGTTGACAATTAGCTTGTAATTATATGTAGGTAATGTCACTGAACGAACTGAAATTACTGTGAAAATTATGCTGCTCTGTTATTTCAGTCATAAATGAATAGCACTCACATTCTGAGACTAAATATAATTTCCAAGGAATAGAACCTCCCTGCCATTAATTAACATGTGTATATTGTTCCTGATTGTGTGTGAAATGATCTTTATAGCACCACTAGAAACAAGAAAGATGCACTTCAGTTTGCTCTAATGCTTTCCTGGTGTTACTTTCTTGATTAAAAACCCATCAAAGTGGGTGCAGTGGGAGAAGTTAGTTTTTGGCATCGGTGTCACCATTCAAAATGGAAAAATATATTATGTAGAGCTCATCTCTAGTCACGTTTCCATTGTGTCCTCATAGGTCTAAATGCAAGAGAGCAGCTAACTGCCCAGTGTGATGGAAGTTAGAGCAAATTAACAAGGTTCTCATGCTGAGGCTTCCCATTCTGTTCTCTTTCCGCCACTGCCGCAATGCAGGGCTAACTTTCATGCACTTAACATTCTTTGAGAACCTTAAATCTTAACTGTTACTTTTACATAATCATTTTTAATGCAACTTTCTGTATTTTTAAAAGAAACCTAATGGCTTTACCACACAAGAATGAGCATTTTTAGCTACTAATTGAGCTAGTAAATTAACTAGTAGAAAAAGGTTGTTTTTGTTTTTTGTTTTAATGCAGACTTATTGCATTGCATGAAGATGGTTCTTCATGTTTTGCCAGATATGCTTCCCAGCTATTTGGTATAGGCCAGCTGTACTGAAACTTGGGTAGAGACTAGTCCACTTTATGATCCTCCTGCATTTCTGAACAGTGCTTTCAAAAGCTGTAAAACTAGTCAGATACTCAGAGAAACTGGGAAAAGCCCATTTTGGCTATCAGAAGCCCTTACAAAATTTATGGTCCTGTTTCAAAGCATGGAAATACTAAATCTGAATTTTGGAAATAGCACTATTTTATCAAGGTCTTCCTGACAAAAACAGCCATAGATAGCCTCCTGCCATGGAAAATACCATTCCAGACCTCTAAGCTAGCCAGGTTGTAAGCAGTAACAAGAGGATCTTTGGCTCAAAAATGCTTGGAATCTTTTCCCATTGATGTTGCTATCTGCCTAAAATTAAATTAGACCTTTTTGGTTGTTCAGTTGGTTGAAAATAGTTGAATTGGAAGACAGAAATCTTCAGATTGCAGATAGTGATCCAGATTTGAGGAAAGACAGGCAAACTGGAGATTTTACAAGGAACAAGCCACAACACTTACCAATGTACTCATCTTGATCCACAAAACCATCCGCATTTTTGTCTATGTCTTCTAAAGTTTCCTGGAAAACAAATTTGCATTGAAGGAGTTGGGAGAAGTGAGAACTCTGACTACTTTCCTGATCATTCCCTGTTTGAGGCCTAACTTGCCCTTGAACACAGAGAAACTTACTCTCGTTGACTCCAGTGCAATCATTGTACAGTGAATAGACAAATCTCCTGTCATGCTGAAGAAATTCCCTGCACAGGGATGAACTGGACGCCTGAGTTTTCATTCAGGACAGGTATCACTTTCCTCAAACTTACATAAATGTTAGTATACATATAGCCTTTCTTTTGGTGTAGGTTGGTGGCAGGACTGCTTCTGATTCCATCTAAGAGCAGCCTAAATGCATTTGACAAGTCAGTCTTGTGCTGAAAATACTAAATCAAATGAGTTTTATGAAAGTCATCCCTTCCTGTTCCCCAGCTTGCCACTGGTGTGTGGGTGTGCACGCACACGCATCTGTCTTTCTAAACTCTGCATGGAAAGGTCAGAGAGGCATTTCAATACTCATCTGAAAAGTAAAAGCAGAAAGTGTCATTATTTTGGTCTGCTTACTGAGACAACAATGTCTTTCATATGCTCAAATTCCTCCGGGTGAAGAAAGGCAGTGAATTCTTCGCGAGTGGCAGCTAAGTCTCCATCCAGATCTGCAGTTTTAAATCGTCTTTCATCTCTGGGCAGCATTTTCTTAAAACTGTGCTGATCAGTTGCATCTTGGAATTCTTCTGGATTTTCTGCAGATTAATCACACAATCTTGAAGCCATTCCTTATAAAATATACTACCACAACGAAGCTCCTCCAGTTTGCTAACACATACTCAGTAGGGAGTAGGGAGCAAAAGCTTATGGCCAGAATAGCTGCTCTGTTAAAATGGATCTTACCTTCCCTGTGAAGTTTTAAATTTGGGGTCAAGCAATTGGTTTGATTTTTTTTAAGGCAACTTGATAGTATAGGTAAGTGGCCAAGTGAGCTTTCTCTTGGAATCCAGGATGATGGATTTGGCAATGTAGTATAGTATATTGTCTTTCATAGAGTTTTTTAAATATTTTTGAAAAGTCTGTTTAGGCAGTATCTGGGATGGACTTATTCATAGAAGGTTGATTCTTCTTAGGAATCAGTATGATCTACACAAACTTTCAGTTTGAAAAAGCAAGCAAACCAAAGACTGGTTTCAGAAACAGGCACACTGACTGGAATTACCTAACTACTCTGCTTCTGTTATGGGAAACTTAACAGTTATTCTTCAGCTTAAAGCAATGAGATTTTTCTGGGTGTTCGGTGGCATCATAGGAATAGTGCTGGATATAATTTTTAAAATAGGATCCCTAAACTGACTTCAAACATGAAAAAATACTCCTTTTATAATAATTTCTCAATTATTCTCTGCAGGTATGTGTGTCAAAAAAAAATCATAGATCTAATAAGCTCCACTTAATCTAATACAGACTTTGTTCTTACTAGCAGTATTAGAAGCTGTCTTCAGAAACTGCCCGTATGGTAGCTAGAAATGGTCTTTCCATTTACAGTATAAACTGAGTTGAACAAATACTAGTTAATCATGTTTTAAGTTATTTTTAACTAAAGTAACAATTTTAATGTTAAAAACTAATACCCTATTTCTAAACTAGAGTAGGAAGCTTCAGTTCAGCTTTGTCAGTACATCTTATAACCCCTCTACAAACCCCTCTGTTTACAGGTGACCTGTGTGGAAATGGCTGCGGTGAATGACTGAGAAGTGTTTTTGACCTCAGAGTATCTGTATTATTTAATATGATTTTCAAAGTCCTAAATGTGACGCCCAACTCCTGCTGACTATGAGGTATGGTTTTGTGCCTTTTAGCATCAGTCTTCTTTCAGCGTGTAATGTGAAAATGCTGTCTTACCTAGATAATAGCCATATGTGGCTTGCTTGTACTCCTCCCAGGAGATTTTATTGTCCTTGTTCAGATCATAATCTTTCCAAACTTTGGCCACGTTTTCATAGATGTAGCGTTTCTGTACCCGCTTAATCCAGTCTTTCAATTCCTCCGTTGTGAGATAGCCATCTTTGTTTTCATCTATTCTATCCACAATCTTTCTGTAAAAGGAGACAGGCAGCTTTAAGAGTTGACAGAAAAACAAAGTGCATGCCAGGCCAGGTTTAGTAATCTACATGGGGGCCTGATTTTTTGTCCCGCTGTTCTCCACAAAAATGCAATGCCCAGAATCTGCAAAGCTGACGTGCTGGCTAAGGCTTTCTTGTATTATGCAGATTACCTTCAGAGATATTTCTGCATGCTTTATTTAATATTCCTGTGAATAATTAAAATGGAACTTCTTGCACAACCAAAATGAGTGACCGGAGCACCTCAAACGATACATGATTCTGCATTTCTTGGGTTGCATCTCCTAACGTGGCGGGGAAGCTGTTCAGCACCCATAGGGAGCCCTCATGCTGGGAGCAGGAGGCTACCCTCGCCTCCGAGGAAAGCCAGCACTGCTGCTTGCCGGAGGCACTCCGGGCAAAACTTGGATTTTGCAGACTCCCACAGTCCCTCCCTTGGCCTTCCAGCAGACTGGTGCCAGGCTGGAGCGAGCTCTGTCCGTGTAGTGCAGAGGATGTGCGTGGCCATGTACGGCTTCCTCTGCCAGTCCTGCCCTTCACTTGCGTTCCTTTGCTTTTTTAGCAATATGGCTTGTCCTGCCAGGAATACCCTGTGTGCGCAAAATCAATAGCTCGTCTGCAGCAGGCGTCCGGTCACTGTTGGCAACTTGGACCTAAGCCAGTACCCTGCGTAATGCTGCCTCGCCTCACGTCCTCCAGAAAGCAGCAGCCGTTAAGATGTTGGGGTCTTCAAGCTTTTGACAAGTTCTGCAAGCAGCTGCAGATAAAACTGACTGGGAAAACTGCGAAAGAGAGAGGCAAATCTCCCCAGTGTTTAGGTTCTCCACAATAAATCTATAAAGCAATGCCTGTAATAGCTAAATGCCAGTAGTTTCAAGTTTGTAAAACTGGCTTCTGTTGCAGCTACAGCAGCAGCCCAGCCAATAAAAGCCTTTATCTAAAATAAGGGTGCAATTTGAATCCCACAACGTGTAGGTAAACTTGTCTTTGTAGTATTGTGTTTCGGGCACTGGCCTGTGGGAAACTATGCGCTCTGCTCTGGGGACAGGGTAATTAGCACAAGTCCTCTGTGCTCAACCACCCTGGCTTCAGTTACAGGAACAGTTTTAACCCTTGAGTCACTGCTTGCAAGGCAGCAAGAGCACCTGGCAGCTCAGTAACTATCAGGGGCCACCTCAAGATACAGAATGGCTGGCTGCTCATTCACCAGCCCTGTGGTCCAGCATGGACCACCAGTCACTTGTAGGAAGGTGCAAGAACAGCAGTCTGCTCGTCTAGACCCTGACTTGGTAATGGACAGGTGTTTCAGATCTGGCTGCAGAATTAATAATGAAGGTGTTTTTGAGCTAGCAGGGGGGGAAAAAAAAAGAGTTACTGACTTCCCTCTCTGAGGTAGGAAAGTATGAGTTAACTCAAACTCTTTTTTATGTCTCAGGGAACTTGACAGCCAGAGTCCCTTTCATTGCACAATGGACTGTATTTATCAATGGATTGGCCCTGCAATGAATTTGGCTTAATTGGTTTAGCTAATGTTTTCGTTTATTGTTACATGTAGTAACTTGCATGCAAGAGATGATTCTGCTAATGCTAACACCCCCTCGTGCCCCGGCGCGGGGGAGGCGAGGAGGTGTGCTGGGGTGCGCTGCAGGCAGCGCTGCTGGCCCTGTTTCATGCCTCGTTCTCTCCACCTGTACTCTCACTTTTATACCTGCATTGCACCCACGCGCACTCTGCTCCCGCCAAAGAGCAGCGGCAAATGCCTCCTCCCTCAGTGCCTAGCGAGGGTCACTCACGAAGTGAGGCTGCAGGTGTTGCGCAAAAGGAGCAACATGCCCAGGTAACTTCTGTGGGCTTGCGCATGAGGTTCCCACCTTCTAACAAAGAGACTAGGTGCCACGTGCAGGAGGTGCATACAGCACTACAGAAACACAGCAAGGAAAGGGAAGCAAGGCTGGGAAAACATGGCTGCAAAGCGGCTGTGAGAGGAAGGCTTCCCTCCGTGCTTGATGCCGGAGGACACAACAGTGTGTGGCTAAACTCTGACCTTTGTCTTTATAAAGAACACAAATTTTCCTAGCGTGACGCTTTGTAATTGTCCTTTATGTTCTCTGGAGCCCTCAGGCCTGCTGCAAGTGATGGGAGAACTTCACAGGGCTGCAGCCCTGCTCCCCTTCTCATCGGCTGTCCCTGTGCCTTCATGCAACCACTGGATGCTGGCCCGGGCTAACTCCAACTTCTGCAACGCCAGGTGAGCTTGGTGTAGCTTGCAAATACAGGGGCCTCCCCTCACCAAGTAATCCAGCGTGGGAGGAGAAGGGTGTTCTTGTCACTGAACTGTCAAAAGGGTAGATACGACTGCAGGCTGGTAAGTGCTGCTCCCTCCAACTGGATCATACCTGGGTTGAATTTGTAGGGCTTTTCTGTGGCTGTTTCCCTTTTATTTGCTGGAGATGTGACAGTAGCTGTGCATTATGGCTGCCTAGCCCTGAGACTGCACAGCACGACTGAGCCCACATGACTGATGTGCTGTCACCGTTCTTGGGTAAGTTAAAGTGACTTGGAAAAGCAGCAGCATGCTCTGTGGTTAGAGCAGCAGAAATATATCTGCCAGAAGCTGCTCAAAAAGCTTTTCATTAAACCTGATCTCCTAACAGCCACTCACATGCTAGTGACACAATTTGTAACCCTCACTGCAGAGAGGGTTACAAAAATGTGACTTGTAACAAAAAGTAAAATATTTTAAAATCCACCCTATCTCCTGCTACAGTATGTGAAATCAGAAAGCTTGGAGATGCTGGAAGCTATGAAGTGCGCTCCAGTCACGGCAGAGGCACCAGGGAGCACCTGTACTGCATCTTGCTCTGCGCCCATCCCACGGTGTGCGCTTTGGGCCTTCTTTACAGGGAGACGTTTGTTGAGATCACCAAAACATTTCCCCCTTACTGAGTTACTGTGGGTAAAAACTGTTTAAGAGAAAAAAAAAAAAGTCCTTTGCTAAATCATATCCCCAGTAAAATACCTTTCATAGAGTAAGTTTTAAAGCAGAGCTGGCATAAGGGTGGGCTGGGTTGGGCATGCCCGTGTTATTGAAATACTTTGTAAGAATCCAAGACAGATGATACATGTTGCAAACATGATTTTTACTCCTGTTTTGAAATAGGACTAAATCGCACACTTGGTACTGCTTTATCTGTTTACCTGTTGAGCTACAGGTAAGTGACAGCTTCCAGAAGGAGCAAGGGGTCAGTGCCCAGAGGAGCCTCGATGCTGCACTAGGCTGCAGGGCAGCCAGGCAGAGCCTGGGCCGAGTAAGCAGCGCTCGCTGGGGAAGGAAAGGCAGAGCCAAGCTTACTGACAGCAGGCAGGCTGACATCACTTTACACGGGAGCATGTTAATCAATTGCTGTTAAGCCTAGTTCTGATTAGCAGTATTAACCCTTGTAAAAGAAGGTGTAAGGGAGGCAGAAGCGGTGAGAAAAGGCAGCGATGCCGTGGGCTGCCCTCTCAGCGTAGAGCGCGGTGTGGAAGCGGGAGCAGCACGATGCGAGGCGGGGCAGGGAGGCCACGGACAGGCTCCGGCGCCGGGCTCGGAGCGAGCGGGCGGCGAGGCCTCCCCGCCACGT